ATATAGAGAGAGAGAGAGAGAGAGAGAGAGACGAATGTCCCCAAGTACAATTTTGTAGTAATTAGTAATTGTAGTAATTATCAAAATCGCCTATTGGGAACGTCACAGATATTGTTCTCTTGCGAGCTTGTTATATCTCAGGACAGGGGGATCTTTTGGGGTGTTGAGAGCAAATCCAAAACAACACAATAAATCAGTTAAACAGGGTTTAATAATCTTAAAAATCTCTTCGTTGCTTACAAAATCACATCAAAATCGAAATGAAACACAATAGCACAAAAAAGTGAAACCCTTTCAAAGAAGCACGAATTAATCTATTCGCACAAATGATCATTGGGAATTCCCGTTATTACTCTAATTAAATTTGCTACAATTCTTATTTTCATTAACCAATGATATAATATCCAATTTAAGACTCCATTCAAATAACGTTACTACAAAAACGTGTACAGATACATCACTCAACAATTTCGCTGTGGCCGTGAACATTAATTAATATTGAACTATTTACAGTAGGCAATAGTGCTTTTAAAATTGCAAGAATCTCTGAATGATACTCACATGACTCCTGTATACTTATTTCCCTCCCAATTTCCTGGTTCTCAAGTTCTCCCTGGTCGCCGTGACTTTGACCTAATTTTCGGCGCTTGTGCGCTGTTAATCCCGGCAGCTTCGTCCTCCGTGTTCCAATGCTCGAATTGACGCGCTTCGGCCTCCGCGCAGCCGATCGCGAGCCCTGAGTCGCCAGTGACGTCTCGCTGCCCTCTTGCGTCGTCTTCCGCGTCACCTCCGCCGTCTTCTTTTGTCCTCGCCTGCTTCGTCTTCCTCGATATTTCCGATTACGCCCGCGAGCGAATTTTCCTTGCAATGCACTGAAGAAATCGGGCGTATTTCGGGCTTACGCGTTGCTCTCGCTCGCACTGTCCCAAATTTCGCCGCTGATTGACATTCACTGGATCTCAGCATGAACTATTCCCCTATTGTTCTGTCCCCAGCTCCACAAAAACTGGTAGACTACATTAATTCTCCGCGTCTTTCAAGAAATACTTTCTTCCAGAAAAATTGTAACAAAGTTCGCTGACTACTAGGCGTCTGTCCGACGACCAACACTCCTACCTTGTAACTCAGCGAACTTGTTGCTGGATCGGCGGTCAAGAACTAAAGAGAGTTTTGCTGGCTCGAAGATCAGGAATGAGAGTGATTGACTGTGGGCTCGCCTATTATGCACGCGCCCTCCGTGTAGGGGTGGTGCGCGCCATCTACCTCTCTCCAGCCTGACTGCTTCTACGACATATTCCTGCGCCGTGCCGCGGACATAGCGCGCAACAATATTGTAGGCTGTGGGTGCGCCTTCTTCAAACCGCGCAGCGCTCGTTCACCCGATCTGCTACAGGCGTTTTCTTGATGTGTGGGACAAACTTTGGTTAATAGGAAACATAATAAATTATTTTGCTCGGTCATAATCAGTTTTCCCATGATCGCAATGTGAGAAATGAAGAACGCCATAACAATTTGCACAATCTCTCAAATACAATCACAAAAAAGATCGATTACAGTAATTTGCGTTCATTTGTTCAGCTGGTCGGTTTTGGAAGTGTCAGCATCGGAACACAACTTCATCTATCAGATGCAACGCGACACAACACAGAAAGAATATAGACATATGAAAACGCCTCATTGAGGCGACATGTTAGTTATTCTTCAATGCAAGAAATGCCTTTCGGAAGGCATCGTGATAATAAGAGTTGGTTAGGAAAGGCTACGTCAATCGAACTTCTATACTTGATGAGTAAGTACGTTACGATCTAGCCACAACACCTAGAATTTGCCAAAACATTTAAAATAACTTCTAACAGAATTCAAAATATTTTGATTTCAGCAATTAGTAAATTTTTGAGTAGATCTATTAAAGAAAACATTTTCATGGCCCAGCATGTTGCATTATTTTAGATGAAGTAGTCATTGCTCCTTGAAAATCCCCCAACAGGTCTTAGCTCTAAATCAGACGCTATGTCGTAGGAGGGAAAGCAGTGCCGTTGCGAAATAAACTTTTTAGAGTCGGTTTCGAAACGTGAGCGTTGCCAATTCAGCACTAATGATGTGTCTCATACGGGATACAGCATTCACCACATCCCGAAAGAGAACCTCTTTATGACGTGTGGCGCGTTCAAAAGTTGTTTAAAAGAAGTGAATAATTGAGTTTTGGTTCACTGAAAATTATGTGCGCGCACGGGGGTACAAACGTTATTCCAGAATATGCAGCAATAATAATAATAATAATAATAATAATAATAATAATAATAATAATAATAATAATAATAATAATATTTTTTGATAAGATTTCATTAAAATTGTATAAGCAAGCACCTAGTGCAACCTAAGCATGAGCCACAACTGCAAGACACCTTGTTCATATAGATGTGAAGGGAGAAAATCGTTTTTACTGACATATAAAACTTTTACACATCTGTCTTAACATAAAAGAATAATATGCATGCATGCATGCATGCATGCATGCATGCATGCATTGTATGCATCAAAGCATACATGTACGTAATATATTTATAGGATATCATTGAATTTACTTGTTACCTATATTGTCCCTGAAGTTAATTAAAAACTATGAAGGATGATGTACTGCTCTACACTTTAATTTACTTTTCGAGTCAACTGTGGTGAATTGTACCTGTTTAATAATAATGTATCGTCAAATTAATCATTCCTTTATTCGACAGTAAAAAATGGTTCGTTTTCATAAATAATATTTAAGAAATATTTACCCAAATATAAATGGTAACAATATAAATTTATTGAAAAAGACAATTACGTAAAAATTAACAAGTTTTGAACAAAAGGCAAAGCGAAAATTTGTTAAGCATAGCACTACTAGGGAGGGGGAGACTCAGACCCAATTCCTGCCACCGGTCTAGCAATCCTATCTGCGGGAATTTAAGGGCTATGGACGCGTGCGTGACTGCATGGGAGTCGATAAACCGTGCGACGGGTAACTTCTACATCGTTTCAAATATTATTTGCTTCACGCATTAAATGTTTTGTGCAGAGTAGAAATTACTTTCCTTTGTATGAGCATTGTGAACATATCAACATGATCAGGGAATTACACATCAGACTACAGTGAGGTTTCATTCTGATTTTGATTCACATATGAAGGGATGTGTTTAGGCGATTATTGGTAACGCGAAATCTTTTTAATATTCCTCCCTTGGATATGAAACTCAGAATGTTCTACATAGCTAAGCACTTCCTTATTTGATATTTGAATTTTGCTGTCACTAATCAACCGGAGGTGAAGATTGAAAAGGTGGGAAAGAATCCAAGGGACACCAATCATTCCGCATCCAGCACCAGTGATTATGGAGAGGGCTGAGTGTATGACCAATACCATGGCGCCCCTTGGGTCGTGGGCCAGTACTATGGCCGGTATTACACAGTAAAAGATATTTGACATATATCTTTGATAAAGAAATTTAAGGAAGGTCTTTGAACTTTGACAAAGAAATTTGATGAACCTATTGCATTTCGTCCAATATTTTATATAGCTTTGCTCGCGATTCAAGATGGATGACGCACATACTTGTTTGTGCTACTTTATGCTTGATAATAACTAATCTATATTTAATCAATGCCACCTAGATAGCGTTGGTATAATGCTGAAGAAGTAAAAAGTAAAGAAATGTTTGAGGGTGAGGCCACGGGTCGCACATTGTGAAGCATAATTTAAAGAACTTAGAACTGTAGAATTATTTGAGGATGGACGAGGAATTATTCAATTATCTTGGTCGTTCTTATTTCTTCTTTCGACATTGGGTTTTCTGATTTTGAAGTTAAAAAAAATCAACTTCATGAATTGGGCATTTTCCACTTCTCGGGAAAATGTCATACGCGTCAATTCGTTTGGTTTTATTATTGTAGTCGGGATGAACAGTATTATATATACATTCTAATTGCTCATAAGCTGCAATTAATACTTTGGTTCAAGCAATACCAAACGGACGCCAAGTTACCAAATATATGATAAAACGTGGATGTTTTAGGCTACATTTTCTCAAAGAAATTTTATCAAAAACGTCTCTGATAAAATATTGGCTTTTACACTGACATGTTTTCTTTTATAAACAAATCTTTGACAAAGATCTTTTACAGTGTAATACCGGATTATGTTACGTGCCCCTACAGCGGTATCCCAGCTTGATCAGTGCGTCGCGAAGCATTGAATTTTGAGAAGACTGTAGTGAGTCTATAAATACAGACCCGCCAGTCCATGAACATGTTTATAGATTTGGTGAGATTAATTAGAGATTCTGAATGCGTCAACTGCTAAAATCACGTTTTCGACATCTCTGTAGACACAATGATGGTTACACGCAGGCGGTTACGACGGTTGCTGGTAGTCGCGACCTACGCAAAGCGTATTCCATCAGCGGTCGAACCCGGAGGCACCCACGAATAGCTGGCATACGGCTCTATCAAATGGCGGCGGCGGCGGCAGAGGCGTTGTCAGGCAAACAAGTGGTGGTGGTGACAGGTCACAAAAGGATAACCGTCACTGGAGGTTTACGCCAAGCATGTTCCAAGAGCGGTCAAACCCTAATGCAAACGCGGGAAACCACTGGTGATTTTTAATTTGCCATTTTCTGAGTTTCATTGTAGTGAGCAGGATTTGTGGTATCAACTTTAAAACTTCCACAATATTATATATACGAGTTGGCTTAGAAAAATTTCTTGAAATTTACTTTTGATTACCATTCTGATATGAAGTGTGCTTTGAAATTGTCTTACAAGTCATTTTTATTTTCTACTTGTTTAATCAATTAAACAATCCACAAAACATGCAAAAATAGTTTGTACCTATACTCTATTAGAAAACATTAAAATCAACAGTAGTTAATATTTAGATAGATTTAGAATAATTAATGTTCACCAATAGCCATTTAGAAAAGCCTTTGGGTCAATTATTTGCATTATACCATTGAGACCATCTAATTTAATTTCATCTGTTAAATAGAAAGTAGTGTTACATAAAAATAATATAACGATTTCATTGTTTATTAATATAAAGACTTGTACATAGAAATGATTTAAATCTCTTATTGTCACAATTTAAATATATAACTAGAAAGGAAACAATCAAATATGGCACATTACATAGCTCAATTTTTCAGAGCTATTAACATTTAAATTACTTGAAATAAAATACTATATGATAATTAAAATACAGCCAGCCAACGTGATGGTTGTTTACAAGAACCATTTGAGCCATCTCCACATAAACTATTAAATGTGGTATCAGGTTTAAATCCCATTATTTCACGTTCCTCTTGAATGCGAAATGAAAACGTTGATTCATATGTGCCAATGAAGAACCTGAAAAAATATGAAATAAATAAAAATATTCAAAACAAAAAATCATTCAAATTAGACAATTGCTTTTTGACGAAGATAACTGACATTGAGAACGAAAAAGCGATAAAGAAATCATTAGGAGGAATATTATGAAGGGAGAGATGAAATATAATATATGTAAGTAGAGATCAATAAACAAGGTTCAGACAAGATTGCTTACCGAGCATGTGAACATATAATTTGTTCGACAATTGCAACTCCACCATCTTTTATCTCCAACAATTCGTCCTCACTTGCAATGTATTTCACAATGGTATAATCTGATAATGCAGACTGAATTTCTTGAAATTCTGTGAAAAAATACTATGTACATTACTATTTTATTTTATACAAGGAAGATACAATCAATAGCAAAACAAGTTTAGTTTTTTCAGATTCATGTAAGCATGTACCTATTACATAATTTATATCAATAGAAATTTATATAAAGTTTACACAAACCATTTACTTAAAATGGATTTCTCCCTAATAATTTAATCCAGACTATTATAAACAGGTCTTACATCTTTGTCATCTAACATCAATAAAAACTACTTTTAAATTTTAATCAGATGAAGCCCTGGGCAAAATGAAGTAGGTACAGTGATATCTCATGACAAGACTTATCTTTTTCAGAGGCTCATTCCTCCACACGGTTGTTTTTCTATGAAACAGGATAAGTATTCTAGAAGACCAATGTATTTTTACTTGAAAGGTGACAATCCCTCTCCTTGAGCATAACTTTTTGTTGTGATGTAGCATCATATTCCCTTTAAGAAGACCAGAAATTTATGTGTTCTCATTCTATTGCAAGCACCCTAGGGACCGTGGCCAGCGACTTTCGGGCAACGCTCCTCTTATTTATTTAGGCGCCAACACGACCGTCCTACCCTTACTCCTCCTCGACCCACTGGCATTGGTGGGTACGACTTTACGACGCGGGGAAATACCGGTAGCAACGGGTTGAAATAATAACCATAAAAAGACGCGTACTGGGCCACCGGGCGGATTCTTTCGCGCAGCTGCAAGGTCGCCGCTTGCATCAGCCACCATGAGCGAGATAGAGAGAGAGGGAGCGTTGTAGCTAGAATATTCGAGAACTTGTCCGTAATTGGATGACAAAATAATACTGCGCATTTGATTTTGACCACTTACAGTTCGTAGTTTCTAGGGTTTCTAGAAAAGCATAGAAGTTGTTGGCAGAGACACTGTCAAAATAGAGGAGTTTGGGCTATTGAACATTGCAGAACTAAAGGCCACATCTGTGTGCTGCGATTCATTTTTAACTTAATATGACTAACTAGGCACTGCACAAGAACACGATCCGTAGTTCACATCTAATCAGTTTCGTTTTTACAAGTCCGATTAAGTTAAAAATGAATCGCAGATGAGGCTTGTTGCTCCGCAATCCGTTCGGCTCAGTAGCCCAAACTCTTCTCTCTTGCCGGTCTTGCTGCCAAATCTTTCTACGCTTCTTTAAATCCCTAAGTTCACCCCACCCAAGAAACTATACACTGTAAGTAGCCGAAATCAAGGCGAATAGATGAGAAACATTAGGAACACGGAACGGAAAATTACTTGCTAATGTGTTGTAAATTTGAATGGACTTGCCAGAATTTTGATAGGCAAACTCTAGAGTTGTGTGTAAGCATCCACCTGTGGAACTTTGTCTGTGGTGTGTGCTGTATTAAGTCGTGCATAAAAGGTTCCGTGAACTTTCAAACCCTGCCAATTCGGTTAAGGACGAATTATTGAAAAGTGAAACACGACCGCGACGAACCACTCAAAGTGCGAGGACCTGAAGAGACACAACCAGCGGTCGATGACCCGTGCCCGCCCGGCCACTCCGGCCGCGCGAGTCCTGCCGGGACTAGCAATAGTGAGTATTAGTTGAATAGTACCTACAAGGTCCCCTTCAGAGAGAGCATCCCTCTAAAAGACCAAACACAGTAATTATATTTGTATATATCTCAAATTAATGCTGCTTCAGTTACTCAGTTTCCACTTTGTAATATGCTTTATACAACCTTTAAACCCTTTAATCATTAATTCAGAAATCACCTTTGTCAGGAGCATCAGTTGCAATGAACACTACATTGAGTTGCAATTTAGATAGATGGTAACGTAATTGTTGAGCTACAGATGGAAGAGATGGAACCTCTTTTGGCCGACCCCACAAGAAATCTCTTCTTCGCATATGAACACACAGATAGGGTCCTCCTAGCGCTGTTCGCCCTCCCTAAACAAACATACACAGCATTAAGCATAAACTATGAAAGAGCAACAGGTAAAATAATACTTATTATCAGTGTTAAGAACTCAAAACATATAGTGGAGGGTCAATGTTTTTTCTTATTTTCCATTAGGCTCTATATTTTGTCATTTTGTAAATACAAAGGTTAATGTAATTCATTTCAATTCACATTACATATTCAATTACATTAAGAACCAAACATCCAGATAACTTGTTGCGTTTTAAATATCTGTGTATATGAATGTATGGTGAAAAAACTTGCATTTTTATTTTGCATACAATCCTACAATAGAAAAAAGTATTTGTATACGCCAATATTTAAAATTATACATGTTGAATAGGCTATAACTTGCAGTAAACCAATTTAAAACTTAACAAATGAAAAGGTAGGCCTGTTCTTTATAATATTCCCTTCAAGACAACTGTAAAAAGTGTGGTCACAAAATGACAAGTTAGTGAAGAGTGAATCTCCTAGATAGGTGTTAAGTATTCATATAAGTCCCTTTCTTGTTTGTTTTTTTTACATGTATTTATTACAAATATCAATGTTTTTATTTCTAACATCAGTAATGTAATCTTCAAATCGGGTCAGCGTCTCAGTAGTATTGTAGAATATGTTAAATCATGTTGAAACTTGTTTTACAGAATTCTGACGAAGTTTTATTTACTGATGAAGGAAAATACATGGTTTTCAAGAACATTATAAGAATGTGTGGATAAAAAAGAAGGAAGAACTGAAGGGAAGAAAATATTTCCTTCAGTCAAGAATGATCAAATGCACATGGACCTTAATTCGAGACTGTGTATTTATATAATTAACCAAAATTCATTATCACACCTCCACAGCCCGCAAATGTCAAACCAAAAAAATGTGTACATGGAGATACATTAGTGAACTCTCTGAAATAAATATCTCTTCAAAGATATCTCTAAATATTACTTTATTGAAAAGATTGAGAAATATGGTCTTAAGAACACCATCAAACTTTTTCATTTATGCTTAAAATACAAGGGCGAGTCAAATGGAATCCGTAATTTCTTTTTTAAAATATTATTTATTGTACACACATGGTGCAAAACTATATCACTTTTCGACATAGTCTCCCCAATGCTCAATGCATGTCTGTCAGTGCTTCCGAAGTGCCTGAACTTCCGTACAAAAATTTGTTTGGGAGACGGCGCAACCACTTGTACACCACATGGCACACATCATCATCCGAATGGAACTTCTTGCAGCCCATTGCTTCTTTGAGGGACCCAAACATGTGGAAATCGCTCGGGGAAAGATCGACCGAGTAAGGTGGATTTGGGAGGCATTCAAATCTCAGGTCTGTTATTGTTGCAACAGTTGCACGAGCGCCGTGCATTGTTGCAGTAGAACACGTACTGATAGCAATCCACAATGTTTAGTTTTGATGGCATCGCTGTTTCAATTCTGTCAGTCGGTCAATTGACAGGGTACCCATCTTGCAGACACCTTATGAAATTGGAGCACATCATGCACAATTCGATGTGCTGAACGATGACTAATGTGTACAAATTTGCAATATCAATTTTCTGTCTAATGTCACACTGCGGTTGTCCATCACGATTGGGTCAACGGCTGCAATGGTCTCTGGAATCAAAACGCTATGTGCCTGGCCGGGGCGCGGAGAGTCGGCTACGGATGTCACACACTTATGAACTTTCGATACCATTCGTACCCTTGCTGCTGTGACAAGCAGGCGTCACCGTACTGGACCTTCATTCGTTGAAGAATGTCAATAGGTTTCACATCAATTCGCAAAAACCGGAGCACAGAACTCTGTTCCTCTCTGGTACACGTTGGTAGTTTACACTGTGCCTCACCGAAGTTTGTTTCTTCACAATGATGCCACCGAAGCGACATCTGGCATTCTGTTGCAAACATGCCTATCATCTTTCAGGACACTAGCGCCACATTTGGATTTTTATTACACCTTCACGGTTTTCAGTTGACTCACATTCATAAGAGACTGATTATCAAGTTAATATTCAAGTCAACTAAATATTAATAGCAAAACAATCCATGTTCTGAATTCTAAAATAGAGAAAATGAATACTTATTATGAATTTCCTTTTTTTTATTTTATTTTTATTCATACATTAATGTCAATATATTATCAAACGTAATATTTTCAGTGTATTTATTTATAAATAGTAAATGAAAGTCATACTATTTTGTTTCACATGACATCATTGAAAGCAATGAAATAATTATTGTTTGTGAAAGTATGTACTATACGGATATTTTTTCGCCGACTGTAGGTATGTAACTTCAATAACCTTTTCATTTTGAAACACATTATCATTAACTCACCTTTTCTTTACGCCAATCTTCAGGTCGAACTGTTTTATCAGCTTCATCAGAAGAGTTGAGAACTTGTTGACGAAACTTAACAGCTTTCTCTACCAGTTTTTTTGAAAATCGCATACTGCGTCGGGCTTGCCAGTACTCTTTGTCACCATAACTTTCATGTAGTACTACTTCAGCATGATCTACCATTACTGTTCTTCAAAAAACAATAAAAAAAAAAAAGCTTGTGATTCAGAATTCAACATATTCTAACAAGAATTTTCAACTGCAATAAAATAATACAATACATAAAAAAGATGCGTGCCTTTTATTATCCATGGTGCCTGACAAAACTTTGGAACTGTTTTTCCAGAGTTTTTATAATTTGTAAGTCTTAAAGCATCACGCTGAGTAATACTGTGAGAAACGCCTCCAAATGAAATGAAGTAAACCGTTTCGAAAAAATTATTCTGAACTGAAATTAAATTTTTCATCTTGTTTCCCAATCCCTAATCCCACCCAGCCATGTTGCACAAGGAAAAAAAATAATTTTAATAATTTTTAGCCCCGTTTCGCGCGTGGACCTGCAATCACGCTCACCTTTAGACTCGCCGAACTTCGACCGCCTCGCAAGCCGGCTGTCAGAATTTCACTGCACCCGTTATACTCCAATTTAAACATAGTGGCATTTCAACGCCATAAGCTGGGAGAGAGAGTGGAGTGTTTGGTATCTATACCGGGAGATAAGTATCCTCGTGGCCCCCATCCACCAGTGGCGTGGCGTGAATGTTTTTTTCCTGGGTAAGCAAAATAAACTTTGCCAAGTGACTAAAAATAACCATTCCACCATAAATAACCAAGGTTCAACTTTTAGATATTACACTAACAATATTTTACACAAATATTGGAGTGGGGATATGGATATATTTAAGGTTTGGAGGGCCGCCGACGCTGTGTGGAGGTTATGATGGGATCAAGGAGAGGAGTTAGTCGGAGAAGTATATTTTCGAATGTTTTACGTATGATAGGTGGTAGGCTGATGGGCCGGTGGTTAGATGGGTGCCGATGATCCTTACCAGATTTGGGGATCATGGTAACACGAGCGATCTTCCAGATGATGGGAAAGTAGGATAGTCTTAGGTAGGAGTTGTGATTGAGGGTGATCACGTCTATTGCATTACTTTTAGGTAGACGAGTTGATAGGACTCCATAGGGTCCGGGAGATTTGTTGCAGTCTATCGTCTTGAACATCTGTTTTACTTCCGCATCGTTCGTCGTCCCTATTGTTGGTCGGGTGGTAGGGGTGGAGGCTCAAGGAAGTTGCAAAGACCACTGTCTGGAATTGCGATGTGTGTATGGGGGGGGGGTGAAGCGTTCGGCCAGGGATTTGGTGAAGGTACTGGTGATGGTTTGGGGGTCAAAGGTTGTGTTGTTGGTTAGGATAGCGGAAATGGGAGTGTGGTGGTTCCTGACTGCTTTTATGACATTGTAGATATTACTGGGGCTGCTTTTGTCATTTACTAGGTCATCATACTTATGTGTCTCGTGATCTTTCAGTAGGTTGTGTATTACTTTCTGCGTCATATTTAGTTCTAGTTTGTCGTCTCTGTATTTGTAGGATCGTTTATGTCGTATAATCATGAGGATTTCGTCAGGGAGGGTACGGTATTTCAGGAATAGGATGTGTTTTACCGGTATATTTTGTGGTGAGTTAGGTGATCTATGGAGTTGTCTATGGATTGAGTGGTCGGGATATGATGGAAAGTGTATTTTCTTAGACAGTACTTGTTTACATTTTTTACAGTCGGTTTTTGGTATTGAAGGGTGTTTGGGAAGCATGTAGTTGCGGGTTGAGGAGCTGGTGAAAAGTATTGGGAGGTGATCAGATAGGTCGTATTTTGGATGGGGAATGGTTATTAGTATTTGGGAGGAGTGGATAATAATATCAAGGATATCGTGGGGAATATGTCGAACAAGGTGGGCAGGTTCAGTAGGGACTTATTTGGATTTGGGGGTTGGTGCCTAAGAAATGTTCTATTCGTATTCCAGTTCTGTCACTAGTCATGCAGCCCCACGAGGTCGATTTACTGTTGACGTCGCCTGTGATAATTGGGTTGTTGATTGGGTAATTTATTGTTGGGTTGGGTTTAGGTTAAGTTGGCGGCAGAGGCTTAAGATTGGTTTTGGGGTCTTAGGTGGGGAAAGTTTTGGAGTTGGTTGGGGTGGATGGTTTAATGATTTGATCATCTGTGCTCGTCGTTTCACTGTGAAGGGATTGTGGATCGTAAGCTAGGTAGTTTAGGGAGCAGTAGATGCATTTTGGGGTGAATTGATGGTGAGATGTATGGGAGGGACAGTCTTCAGTTGGGTGGGAACCAGCGAAGAGGGCGCAAGTCTCTTGTCTCCTGCAATAGGCCTTCGTATGGTACAGTCTTTGGCAATTTCTGCACTGGGTAGTCTGTCATCTTGTAGTCTGCAATGGTCAATCTAAAGTCGTCAATGTCTTTTTTTATTTCTGTCATTTTTTGTTTACCTCTACTGTGTACACGCCCATAGGTGTCAATGTCCCGTCATCGTCTCGTCGTTGCATCACAGTGATGTGGTGTGAAGTAATTTTAAGGGCGGTCAAGTTGTCTGATGGCAGTGAAGTCGTATTTGGCCGGTAGTCCTTTACAAATTTGTCTCTTTGTTCGTCGGTGGCTTGGTTGGCAAGAAATGGTTAAGAAGAGTCCTTTTTGTCAGGGATAGTCCTACAGATCTGGTCCAGACGGTCCCTTATCTTTCCATGGTCAGTCACAGTTATTAATTGAATTACCAATTCCGTCCGAGTGAATTTGGCTGTCAGGTGGTTACAGTTTGTCTTTAATTCCTTGATCAGCTCTGTTGGGTCAAGGATTGTCAAGTCGATTCTGAAAAGTCATTCGTCCTTTGTTAATTGGTTTTTTGATCGTCGTTTGTTGGGTGGATGATTGTTCAGCTGATGGTTCGTTGTTTGTGTCTAGGTCTTCAGGGGTTCCAGAGTCTGGGGATCCACTTGGGAAAGTGTGTTGAAGGGAGTATGGGATTGTAGAACTGCAACGTTATCTAAACTGAAATAAATTCTAAGAGTTTGTACGTTCAGTACGCGTGGCAATGACGAGATCGTGATCCTCACTGCACGGGCGCTGCTCGCTCGCTCGCGGAAGTCGCCGTAGCGCCGTTGGTCAAGCTGAGTAAGAAAGGGATGAGCTGTCACTCGCTTCTGGAGAACAGTCGAAGGCATTTTCCATAAGTTCCACTGGACAAAAATACGGCGAAATTTTGGATTCCCATTCGTAACTAAACGACTAAGGACAAAACGGCTATATTTTTTATACATATTAGAGATTTCTACAATTTGTGCTTGTGTTTCTCATCATTTTCCTTGCGCTTTTACCTGTTTCATTTTTTTCTCTTGTCCTTTTTTGGGGAGGGGACATGGCCCCTCGACCCAACACTGCGATTACATCACTAACATGTCTAACAGCTTGAATTACCCATCTAAATTTGTTTTGATACAAAATGTTACGTCATTTTTCTTTGCTTTCACGGCATTTTAAGAATACGTTATTGATATGTTTGGTGACATTTTAGGTCATCAAAATCAACCCCTTAGTTATCATATTTCCCCATCCTAGGGATACTACATAAATGCCCTGCGAGTCGAATGCGATCGGTAAATTAAGATAGTACTTTATTCAGAATGTGTTTTGGTCGAATGTGTCATTACAGAGGTGGAACGACGCAAGTTAAATTCAGCTCATGCTACGAAATGTTTTTATTTGTTTATTATGAACAGAAAATATTTTTACGGAATAGAGGGGTAGTTGTGTAATGCTGCGCGAACAGGAAATTTGCGATAGAATACTTATTACAGGATCCTGGTAACGAACAAGTGGATAAATCCAATTGCTAAATTTAGAAAAAAATCCTTCAACACGTGGTGTAGACAGAATCTGATTTGTGGGACCTTGAAACCTAAAAATCGAATGACTGCGATCTGTTCGTCCGTCTATGAACAACGCTACCGACTAAACAGTTACTCCGATTTTCTCCAAAATTGATATTTCCAAATCTATCTGGCTGATGTCATAGCTCCTAGAATTTGAAATCGATATTTTAATATAATATTTTAACACCATTAGTTACTTAAAAGTTTCGTGAGAAGTTAAAATTCATGTTTGCTGATTTGGGGGGTGTCTCACCCTCTCCTCCGCGGATCCACGCCTGTATTATGTTGTTTCTTTGCTTTAATACTACAAGAAATGAAATTGACAGAAATGTCTCTTCCCAATAGTCACATGAATTACTGTATTCAGTATGCATTGCACATCCAAATTGGAGATAGATTTTCATCACTGTATGCAACACCGAGAATTGTTTACCTTTATAAGTATAAAGATACTTTGAAGTTTGCAATAGTGGTGCAAATTGTCAATAATATTCTTGAAAATTTAAACATGCAACTGAAGTGAATTAGGGATTAAAGATATTCCAACAAAGGTGATATTCAAACTTAACTATTTTTGTGTAGGTTTCGTTTGAAATCATTAATCTGATTTAGGCATTCAGGACTTCACTAGGACATGAGCATATTCACTGGGATCAAAGAATAGCCAATGTTCAATACGCACAAACTGAACGGAATGGTCTACAGTCCCTAGGATTCCGGACCCTTGCCAAAGAACATCAGAACTTGAGACAGGATATTCATTCTCCAGGGTGAAACAAGATACAGAAAGGAGGGCAGGAAGTGGAGTGATGATGGGAGGGGTGCGATAGAGAAAACACTATCTCCCTTGGTGTGGAAGCTACATTGGAAACATATCTAACATTTTTGTTAGGTTTTTTTCATAGTTTGTAAAATACTGTATGTTGTAAATACTGTAGAATGTTTCTTTGAATTACTTAGATAAGCAGTGCTATGGAATACATGCCCCTGCCACCCACCAAGAAGCCCAACAAGGGGATATTCCATTAGAACCTGGGTTGTGTCCAGAATGTAGCAGGTAGTGTTATGGTTTCTTCCCACTCGTGCACTAGCAGGAGGCCAAATGGCTTTCCTCACTCACTCTGGAGCTCAGCCAAAGGTGTAGTCCACGCCGGTTTAATGGTGAATGGTTTGGCTCCTGACTGCCAGTCTAAAAAAGGGTTGTTGTGGTCCGTGGCTGGTTTGTTAGGGAAGTACTCCGGCATTTGCCTGATGTTGATCGGAGAAACCATGAAAAACTACTGATCAGAGAGCCGGCCACTAGTCGCCACTTTTCCTCCCGACAGCGGCTGAACTCGAGCTAGCTACCTAACCAGTGTCAAAGATCTTGTCACTGACAGAACTTAAACCTTAGGTCTTCCTGGTTACAAGCACTGCAGTGACATTAATCGATGACCTCCTAAGCCAGTGAAAGATTGAGAACAGGTATAGATACACCTAATATACAATGATCTGGAGGAGTCCAATGATAATGTCAATCCCAATTAATTAGTTGAATTACTAATTATAAAGTTATAAATATGATAAATGTAAGAAGTGTATAAAACATTCATAAGAATGCTAAATATAGCAATATTGAAAACAGGTAAAGAATGTTAACAGTGATTTGAAATTACCGAAGGTCTAAAGCAAGAATGTTTTTGTTTCATTGGCGTAACTAAAGGGTGGGAAGGGGTGGCAGTAAACCAAATGAAATGGAAAAATTTCTTAATTTCAGGTTAAAATTAACACGACATAAGGAAAGAAAAGATATTTATATACACATTCATTCTACATTATTCTCACCTTATTTGTGACCCTGAAAGGTATTTTGCAAGCTGAAATGCTCTTCCATGGAACGATAGACATGCCATGTTGGAAGCAGTTAAGTTTTTAAAACCCCAGAAATATCCTGAAAATCTTCCATCTTCTTCCAATCTGACAATAAAGAAAAGTTAAATGAGTTTCTGTAACTTCCATGTATGTAGAAAAGCTTTGTCAAGTTGAAATCACTTACACATATGGAGGAGTTTCATTACAAACTTCTATACTTTGCTTTTCCTCAAATCGTCCAGCTGCCCAGTCATCCTTGAAATGCTGAAGAATATATACTTGTTCAATACTCGACACACCATATTCTGGTCACAAACGCCAATGTGTGAAATGAAACAAAGCCAAAAATATTTTATAAGATTATCTTTTACACAAAAGATACTCAAATTCCATTTGTCTCTCCACAACCATCTAAATAAGTCTGTGGGAAACGAAATTTAATGATATTTATTTAACATCTCTCACCTGACAATCTCCACTCTGACAAAAATAACACACTTCATTTTTAATTACAAAGAAAAGTGAATTACTTGCCAAAAGGATCACATTTCCTTACAGAGTGAATAACAAGTAATTATTAGATGTTCAATGAAAAATAGCACATTCTTGTTGGTAAATTCACCTCACAGTAAATAATTTAAGAGTGGAAGAATTTCTTTACCAGAACATTCCCTCAGGGCACACTAAACAAGTGAAAACAATCGCTAAATCAGGATCCTTATGCTATAAAACTTATTTTATTCCATATTCAATGACATAAAAAGAGTATAATTATAATGTATGTATTTACTCTGGCACTGCAGCCTCATCAGACTATGGCCATGACCATGGTCTCAGTAGACCTGTTGTAAGCATAATGGAACTCCATCCATCATCTATTGCCATCCTCTATTTGCAAGAAGCTTCAACCAACAGTATAAACTGGGAAATGACAATGAAAAATGACAGTTTAATTTCTGTCTCATCTAGGAATCAAACCCAGGGTCTTGGCATGAAAAACTAACCATGAGCCAATGGGGGAATATAAATAATTAATATAGTTTTTTTTATTTTTACTTTAAATGTGGTTTGACAATTGTGGCACAATGGTTACACAAATTGATGCGTTTAAATATTCTCAAGTTTGATAGTAAATGAAAGAAAACCTAATTGTATTCTGTTACTTGGACAAAGTTTTCCTCAACACAGAGCAATGGTTTAGTTCAAATTGATATCACTGATGACAGGTGTTGGGAAACATCCAGCCTAGACTGCCAAGTGTTGGTTGGTTTCAAATGTTAATAAGTTGTGGAAACAATATGCTCACAACCAATTTCTTGCTGAGAAGTTACATGATGTGCTTCAGAGACATTAAGAGAACTGTCAGTCTCAAGTCACTTGCTGTCTTTACAGTAGAAAAAAATTGGATAGTAACAAATCAAGAAAAAATGAGAGCAAATGTATTTACAACTTCAACCAGCAGCAAGAGGGGGAGCGGAAGAGAGGGTTACTATATTAAAACATAAAATATTAAATGCAATTATTTTTAGATACTTTCACACTACCAGAAATCACATCATTTTATTGAAGACAGTTCTTACACAGGATATTATTTGAAGGTCATTGATTTAAATTTATAATATTGACTTATTAATACACGTGCAGGAAAGAAAAAGGATCCTAAATCAGTAACACATCTATAAGAGATTTTTAAAACCTAAAATTATATTTATAAAGTCCTAAAAATCCCAAATAATTTCCGACTCAGAACCTAGATTTTGTCATATTTTTCTCTGAAAAAATTCACTACTAATATAAATATTTTCTTTCTTCAATACTACATTTTAATGTATTCCAATTTACATTGAACCAATTTACATACCACCTATTCAATTTAAGTAATGCTATGTTTGTGACAGACCTGTTAAAGGAATTTAAAATACTCTAACTAATAATATGAATAATAATTTCATAATAACACTAATATGAATTATCATTCTGTAGAAGAGTGCATGCAATATTTATTTTTAAGCATTTATTTACCCTAAAGCATTTGGACCACAAAATAATGGAATGATATGAACTATAATTCTTAATTTATCTGCTTGTTCATAACATAATACCAGTAATATACTGCTGCAAATCCATCACGGGAGCAAAGGCTTGCAAGCTTTCAAGATCAAAAAATAAACTCCATGGAAGTCTCTCTTGTGAAACACGTGATCTCCAATGATAGAGTTTTGGCCAGGGAGGCAAAACCTATGTAGACAAAATATAAACTAGTCAAATATAACTATATAATTTAAATATAATTAAGCTTCCGAAATGAAATTAGAATTATCAAAATTTAAGCTTCAATACACTCACCAAATGCCAGTCTGCCTTTTCTGAAAGTTTACGAATCATTACAGCAAGTCGCATATAGACATCTCTTCTTAAATTAAAACCTTCTGGGGGATTCACATCATAAAACAGAAACCTGTGGAAGATGCAATTCACACTGACTTTCAATATTTAATTGTTACTGCTCTAAGAACCATAACTTACCTAGGTCTCGCCGTAATCTTTGATGCTTCTAAGCAGTCATTATTTACTTCCCCAGGATTAACAGAACAAAACTCTGACGATTCACAAACTGACAGGAATGAAACCAATAATACCACATAACATAACATTTTAACTTCGGAAGCTTCTACATAGAACGAAGGCACTTACATTACATTAATCAACTTGAGTCTAATTCAGTTTTTCCGTACTTGCCAAATACATGACAGAAAACATGTGCTCCCGGCATTTCACATAACCTAAACTAAACTAAACTAAACTACAAGCGCTATTACAACGATCCCAACCTAAACATCAAAGTCCTTTCAACTCCCATACTTAACGTGTTGGAAACTGGTGAAAACCATTACAGTAACGCGCTCTCCTGCAGCACCTTCTTACAAGAACTAAAATACGAACTGCTGCCAACAATACTTCTAATGTGCTTGGCCACTGCGTTGATTAGCGAGACGCAAGCAGTTAGAAAATATAGCATGGATGTTCGCGCTTTCTTCAGATGTTTCTTATGAATGTATTATGAATAATTGAACATTTAGAAGACACTTTTCGTATTCCTCACGAATTAACCAATTTGAATGTGTTAAAGTTTGCGAGCCTCACCAGCAGCTGCACCCGGTGATACTAGCGCCCTCTATCGTAGCACTCTTCTGCTTTGTCCCTGGTTTTGATGGAGTTGCAAGGCCCTGGTAAACATACAGAATGTCAACTGTTTTTCATACTCGTAATGACAGACGTGATGCAACATCCTTGCACAATGATGACTGATCGGCCGCACAAACGACAAATACAATCTTTGCGCGCTAAACTTAACGGAAAGTTGTCTGAAAATATAGATTTAACCATAGTATGCATAGGTGGATTTACATAATATTGGTGCAAAACATACATTAAGGACACGGGCCAATTTGTCGGACTGACCGTCGGGATAAGGAATTTGGACTCTCGGCTACACACTGTTCTACCAACAACCCGGTAGTGCACGGAATTTCGAGAAGGCAACATCTATGCAAGCACAGTGATTCCCAACGTTGAAAATCTGATCAATAAGAAAAAAATACATGTTTAGAGATGTTTATGTTCAAAATAATTCACCCATAATAGTCATAGAGTTAAAATGCAGATTAGGAACACATTTTGTGTTCATCTTAAGAGCCCAATTTGAAAGCTAATTTCTATTACGGTAGCGAAAAATACCACCAGGTTATTAACATTTCTGACAACGTTTCCCTACAAATATAACACGAGTTAAAATAAAAGATTTAGTCCAAGTGAATACTGAATATTATGTTAATTATTGAAGTGAAAAAATGAATAGGACATGTGTTCTAGTACATAATAATTCTACGGTCAAATTTGCAATTTTCTTTCAAAATCACAAAAGTTGCTGTATCTCGCTGTAACTGATTGCTGACACGTGTTTGAATAAAGGAGATTTTCAGCCGTTTAATGATGATTTTCTCATGTGTGTAATTTCTACGATTTATAAATAAACGCAATTGCTTTTTTGGGGGGTTGCTTTCATTCTCATAATTATTGTCAAAATTCGCTTACATTACCGATTTTGATAAGAAATTTGCATTTTATGTTTATTTACATTTCTGCCGAATTTAATCCGTAACTTTATATCTTGAAATTTTCGGCTTCAAATTCGTAATCAGCAACCTCCAACTCC